GCATTGTAAATGTTTGCATTTGTATTGCATAAGTTACTTCACGTTATCACTACAATCATTACAATCTGTAGGGATTTTAGAAAATTGTTCCGTTTTAAGAGGGAATTATAGATTGTACAAAACGTTAGTTCAAAAAATTCGTTACTTGTCTTCTATTATAGTAATACATTTCCACAAAAATACGCAATTATGAAATTAGTGCGAAAAAAAATTTTTATTTGTCGAAATTATTTTGATACAGGTTAATTTTGACAAATTTACGTAGCTCTACCACACGGGTCCCATGGTGTAATGGTTAGCACTCTGGACTCTGAATCCAGCGATCCGAGTTCAAATCTCGGTGGGACCTAGTACTTTTTGATCGTGCCGCATCAAATACCTTCTTTATAAGAACTATAAAACTTAATATCTACAAAACTGGGTCCCTAAACTAACATTATGGCTTCGACATTCCCTAGTTCTCAAAATTGTCTTTCTTTCAAGACAAAAATCATGAAAATCCGTCCAGTGGTTGATTCAGAATCGTGAAATAAAAAAACCCTGTCACGTTATAATATAGTTACTGGATATTTAGGTGTTTTATTATTCTACTATAATTATATAGCTGCTAAACCACCTGAATTACAATGAAACAATGAAGACAATGAAAATTTGTGTAGATTTACGCCGCAGCAAACCTGCCGCCTTAGAAGCGAATTTCCATTTGCCTGAATTGATTTTCAATTAGCATAATTATATTTAAATACATAAGGTTCAACGAGTACCTAGGTTTGCTACTACATACAAGGGAACAAATACATTGTGTTTTTTAGTAAAATAATTATAGCTTAAGTTTAAGTAATTTAAAATAAATAAATGTGCCAAGTTTGATCAAAATATCCATAAACAAGCAAACTACAACATTTTACAATATTCTCCATAAGAATAACATGGACATTTTAAATTTACAATTTTTTTTATTTTCTCGGTAAACAATAATAATTACCTATACAAAAACACTTTGATATAGACCTACTGAATTATTTGTTTTTAAGCTCTTTAAAAAGGTCTAGAAAGAAATTTGGAAATTTTGTTTTTAGAGGATCAAAAATTTGTAGAGGTAAATCAATATTTTTACCCTATAAAACCCTTGTAAACCCCCGTTCCCATGGTCCGATCAAGCTGGTTCGCGAACTCGTTCAAGTCTATCCCGCCTCACACCTTCTAACCAAATTTCATCAAAATCAGACAAAAATTACTCAAGTTATCTATTATACAGGGTGATTGATATAAGTGTGCCAGCCGTTTTATTCGAAAACCATAAGAGATATAAAAAAAAGTTAAATGGTAAGTGCCTTGGATTTTTTATTAACCCTTTACTTCCCATAGTATCCTTTTGGATACATATTATTTCTCATTTTTTTACCTCTCTGTAGATAGAGATTTGAGTCTATACCTCTATGCATTTTGTTTCTAGGCTTATTAGAAAGGGTTTTTAATTTTCCTAGTGTTGGCATGCCTGCGAAAAGAAGAAAAATATCATTTCAAAGTGATGCAAACCAGGTTTTTGACACATCATGAAATTTAAGATTTTCAAGATAAGATTTTTTATGTTTATAATTAGTTACGAAGCTGGGAAAAATTATATTGCACTTCATTGCACCTTTAGCTACTGAAATATACATAGAATTATAGTTTTCTGTTACTTACTTTTTATATATTTTGTATAAAATAACTGAATCCAAATGGATACTATGGGAACACAGAGTATGCTGACAATATTTAAAGAGTCCTCTGTGTTCCCATAGTATCCTTTTGGATACAGGTTTATTTTTAATAATAGCTATGGTGTGTCGTCTGTGTTCCCACAGTATCCATATGGATACTGTTTTTCTTTTGTATTTTCTTCGATATAAGTCTGTTTTTTTAAGTCTGCACAATGATAAATATAGGCCTACAAGTGTTGTAATGATTGTTTCAGTCCGATATTAGAAATCATTAAATATAATAATGATGTGTTTTACAGATGAATGACAATGAAAAAATTGACGAGTGGCTTATGATGCCATCTAGTGATATTGTAATTAAGTTTTTTACATAATATGTCTATTTGTACTCATTCTAAATTAATTTGTTTTAATTGATGAACAAGTAACTTATTTTTCAATTTGATACAACTTTTAAGAAACTTGTATCCATATGGATACTATGGGAGTGTCAAAGTAAAATTAAAATTATTAACGTATGAAAATTAGCGAACAATGGTACTTTAGGTTTCCATGGTATCCATATGGATACATATTTCTAACTTTTAATTCTATGAGGGAAATTTGAAAACAAACACATTTTTAGCCTTAAAATACCAAAAATAAAAAGAAAATTCACAATAAATTTTTTTGTTATTAAATTTCATAATTCTGGGAAGTAAAGGGTTAAAAAAATTATAGTCAAGTCAAAAAAATTATTTTAGCTGCCATTTTTCCAATATGGCCGCCAACTTTGATTTTTCTTATGGAACACCCTGTATTTCATGATGTATTCTGGTAGAAAATGTAATTTTAAGACGATTTTATTCTTGTAATTTTTTTCATGAACCTAACCGTTTCAAAGATAATAATGGTTTAAGTTGTGAAATTTTGAATGGTTTTGGAATAAAACAGCTGGCATGCTTGCTAAGGCCTTTATCGAAACTCTTTCTCATGCAGAAATTTTAAAACTTTAACCATTATTATCTTTGAAACGGTTAGGTTTATGAAAAAAATTACAAGAATAAAATCGTCTTAAAATTACATTTTCTACCAGAATACATCATAAAATACAGGGTGTTCCATAAGAAAAATCAAAGTTGGCGGCCATATTGGAAAAATGGCGGCTAAAATAATTTTGTTGACTTGACTACAATTTTTTAAATAAAAAATCCAAGGCACTTACCATTTAACTTTTTTTGATATCTCTTATAGTTTTCGAATAAAACGGCTGGCACACTTATATCAATCACCCTGTATATGTATATAATTATTAAGTAAATTAAAATATATATACAAATTTGAGCTAATAGTGTTTTTGGCCTCTGGGGACATCTAAATGAAAAAGTAAATCGGTCCCTGGCAAGTTCTAATTTAACATGATGCTATTTACATTGCGAGGGTGTTTTAGTGAAATTGTAATAGCTTAGTATTAAACGAATTTGACAGGTTATTGATCATAACCTATCTATAAACAAACAACAATTCATTACTGTACTGCTTATTACACATAAAAATAACACGGGAAGTTTAAATTTACAGTTTATTTGGAATTTTCTCCGTTGGGCCTAACTATTAAGGGTACATAAAAGCTTCATATACTTAATCATTATAGTTGTTTAAGCTCTAATAAATGGCCTAATCGCCTCAGATATTTTCTAGTTATCACTAAATATATAAAGTAATTACAGTATTAAATACTGTACTACTGTATTTACTAGTAGTAGTAGCCTGTACTCGTACTAGCTGGCATAGATGGTACTGGCAGTCTGGCACAGACAATATTAGTAGTGGTTTCTGTTGTCTGTGGTACGTACCAGTGGTACTGGGTACTGGCATAGATGGAGTATGTTTAATCTATGGTATTGGGTGTAGAGATATAAAGTCAATGGTAATGCCAATGCAGCATATGTCGGCAAAGCAGTACGGCAGTACTTTTGAAAACTTTCTAGTGTTGCCACCAGGTAGCAGCATCAAGCAAGGTTTTTGGTTTTATAGTAATGCGGCCAAAAGCATGTACAATACATAAAATAACAATGATATACAAACGCATTATATTTTTAAACCTCCTCTAAATCAACGTGTAATGCGATAACAGATTAACTAAAAATATTTAGAGGTAACCATTTTTATTATACTGTATTTTCCATTCATAGGCCAATAACAAATTAAAAAGGGTTACTTCTTACGCAAATTTACTGTTTTAGTTCAAACTAATGTGTAATGCTCACGGAAGTGACGGAGGTGCTTGTGGAACCATGTAGAACAAACAGCATTTACACCAAATATTTGTTCAAAACATTGATCAGCTGATAAACGGTGGCAGAGTCAACAATGAACCCATAATCAGCTGTTTGAGTAGCAGTAGGGAAATGTGTAATGCTGCCAACCGCACACACTACAAAAAGTGTTGATGGGCCTGGGAAATATTCACCAATTTTCCCGACAGTACCATCACCTCCAATACATTATCCGGTAAACATAGATCTCCGATCTCCGTCACATAAACATAGAAAACACATGAATAAATACTTCGAAAGTTGGACGAAACCCTGACGAGGATTTTACTGTTGGTTTTAATCTAGAAAATCACAACTACAAAATAGCGCGTTTTTATTATCATCAAAACTGCACAAGTGAGCTTCAATATCAAATATGATTATTAAAGATAATCAGCTAATATAGTTAACAAACAAATCAAAGCTAAAAAATCATAAACTTGTTGGAGATATAAGTAACAACAACAGATTGTTGCAATTTAAAAAAGTAACAAAGCAAATTGATCTTTATTAGATTTTTGAGTGATTACTGGTAATTCTTTACAATATCTTTACAATATTTATAGTTTAATATTTGAAAGAAATGCAATACTTTATTCCTTATTCTGTGGTAATAAAAAAAAACACAGAGACTATTACAAAACAATCCACCTATGTGCATTCACTATCAATATTTCAAGCTATAACAGTAATGTTTTTCCTAATTCATCACACATTGATCCGAAGGGTAACTTATTTAGGCACTATGCGTATTCCAAATAATAAACAACAGTTGTTACGCCCAACCTACTTTTAAATTCCCAGAAACCCCAATAATTTATCTTTGTTCCCATATTTAAAACTCTCATATTAATATATTTCCTGCTACGTATTTAAAAAGTGTAGTTATATTCAACGTTCGTTCAGAAATTAAAAAATACCCGCACACTTACCAAAATACCTAGCCAGGGAATTTTTACCAATCAATTGGCAACACTGTAAGCTATAGAGTCGAAGTCTATAGTATAGTATCAGATCAGACCCTTTACTTGTTGCAGCCAAGTCGTAAGAACAATGTTGTTCCAGTGTGATTGCATACTATAAGTGTTATAGTTTTATGTTTTACAGTGAATTTAGGTATTGTCCGTTAGTTTTATAATGGTTACATAATGGACTCCAACCGACCGCATTCTCAGACGTGAGTAATTTTTCAAACAAATTTAACAATTTATTAACATAATTTTTTTTTACAAATTTAATATGGTTTATTTTTATTGCTAAATGGACTGAATAACATACCAACATACCTAAGTATATAATACAAAGAACAAACTATTTACACATTTCATATAGAGGCAATTAATTATGCCCCTTTATAGACCTTTATTTGAACAAAACTGTATTATTCTCAGTAAAAATTTGAATCTTTAAAATATTTGATTTATAAAAGTGCCTAGAATTGTTCGCAGTGCATTTTTTTACCAAACAGCGGGTGGTCGTTTCTTAGTAATTAGTTATGAAACTTACTTGTAGCATATTTAGCCTATTTTAAATTAGAAATAGTCAAACTAGTAGAGTTATTACGCGCTCTCACGCGGTGTTAGTATAAAATGGTATCTTTACACAATTATACGTATTCATAAGATATTACTTTGCTCTTACTATGTTGTTTTATAACAGAATATTTATTTTGTTAATTTATCGAAACGCCAAAGTATTGAATATTAAAAGAGCTAGCCATAAGTAGTACTTCATATGAAAACTGCACATTCATATTATCTAGACTTACTGTATTTGGTTTGAGAATAGGAATTGTCTCAGGAATAGTTTTTCTATCTCTGTTGCCGTTAGTTTTTGGAATGACCAGCGTGTGGAATTCACTTTTGTTTTCGAATGGGGCTACGTCAGGCTACGTTGTTATGTCAAACGTTAAATTTCACCCAGTAGCTCTTTGAAAAGTAAAGCTTATAAGGATTTAGATGCTCGAAAGAGATTGGAAGTAGGAATTTTATAATCCAGGCTCTATATTTGTTTTAATTTCTAAAACACTGGCTCGAAAATATATTATTATTGTCACTTTGATGGATCATCTTCCGGCCTAACAAAATATACACTGTAACGCAAACGCTATCACGAACGAAGCTAGTCTAGATTATTCTGTAAAAACTAGTTTAGTCAAACTAAATCCCATTTCCTGTGGATGGCAGACAAACGCGAGAGGACGGGCGTCGCCGTGAATTAAGACAATAGCAATTCTGTTATGAAACGAAACGGAGTAGGTTTGCGTTTACACCATCTCCGTGTAACAACCAACGTTGGTAACAACTCATATGAGCTTTTAAAGAAAGATTGAAAATGGTACCTCAAAACCTGAAACACCTTCTGGTCTGGTAGTTGTTTTCTAAGTGAAATTAAAAATAACAGTAGAATTTAATTGTTTCTCCAGTTTGACAGTTGTTTTACCCTCGTTAACTAATCACCGCATAAGTTACCACTTGAGGCATTTCATTCACTTTACCCAACTGCGGTATCACTAATTATTTATCATCTAATAATAATCTATGACCTATGTTAGTTTGATAATTATTTTTAGGAACCTCTTTTTCATTCGGGTATACAAATGACAAAAGTTCCCGCGAATGTGGCTAACTATCATCGAAGTATAATAACACAAAGACGCTATACTGTACATTACGCTGCGAAACTCATCGAACCCTGCAGACTACAATCACAGATAAGAAATGTATAAATGTTTATTCCATGCATGTTTTTATGCGTAACACCAAGGCAAAACAAATAGAGTCAGACAAATATTTGTTCTGTGGTATAAATATAAGTCAACAATTTTCGATACATTCACGTATGTCACAAGTTTTCAGGATTTACCGTAAGCGTATCCACTACCCAGTACCCACGAATTGACAGGCTGCCAGTTGTGTTATTGGCCCGTGTCCCTTGTTCCTTGTGTTAATAACTGGTTAATACAATCACGTTTGTAGATAAGGAATCACGACGCGATGGAGTGGTCTACTACCGCGTCGGAACTACTGCACTTCATCAGCACTAGCATGATTAACTATAGAGTGGAAGTGCACTCCACTAGTGCTTGCAACGATTTCGCAATTTTTTTGTAGTTTTTAAATTTGTTCCAAAAATTGTTTTTTTTTTCACCCTTAAAACAGCCATTGTATGAATCTTAAAACAACAAATAATTTCATTTACTTAAAACAACAAATTCATTTTATTTATTTAAACACGGGGGAAATTCCAGAAAACTGTAGGCTACCTACATTTAAAATTCCCATGTTATTCTTATGAAGAAAAATTAAACATTTGTAGTTTGCTTGTTTATAGTTACATATTTTGATAAATATTTTCAAATTTATTTATTTCATAATACTTTACTGTAACCAATTACAATTTTTTGGAAAAAGACCTAGCTATTCCCATCCCTGTAGAAGCCGACCTTTAGCCTACTTGATTTTCCATTCTGCCTATTAAAATAATATTTTCCCATGGTATTTACCCTCTTCTAACACCAATTTGAATGGTAGAGTTTATTATGGGCTGGTCCTAGGGCCCTAGGGGGGATAATGGAATAATATAGTGTAAACAAAACACACAAAACACGAAGTAGTATAGGCATGCCTATAGGCATTATGAGTATACACGTTATGCTTCCAGATTGCCTCAAATTTAGTTTACTGTTGTTATGATCAACATTTTCTCTGTGGAGGGCTCTAGCTGGGGCCGGGGGCCCATAAAATCACCTGACAGCAGCTTTTCAACTGGCTGGATTTTGCTCATAGAGAGTCTTTATATAGGGCTTGAAAACAGCAACCCGTTTGATTATTTTGTTTTAAATTTTAAAATACTTCAACTTCAAGTATTAAAATAACAAGCTTAAACGACTCAATTGTTTTTATTATTTCTGTATTTCTTCTGGGTTCTTATTAGAAAAATAAAAAAAATACTGACATGCTAAGTGTTAATCACTGTATTCGACTTGGTAAAACTTTAACATACTTGGTAACAAATCCATTTATAGATTTCATTTACCAAGTTTGTTTCTGGACTCATTATGCCCATTTAAATCCTGCTTATGAAATATTCACCCAAAGGTTGTATACAATAATCATTTAGGCAGATTAAAGGTTGGATTGACATACCAAGGATGGGAAAACACTATTACTTTGTGCTCTTTTACCCTATATCAGTGTCAGTGTGTGAGAATGAGGTGTTCAAAACCCAATAACAAAGACTTTTGCTTATCACATGCTACAGTATCAAGAAAACTGATGAACTTTGACTTTTGATAAATAAACACTGATGCCAACATAGAATTTCAGGCACCTAAATCCCACTGTTTGAGAGTTTATTTCGTAGTAAATTATACAGCTTCGCCATGTACACAGGTGCAAGAGCATATTTTTAATAATTTTTAATATGCATATTTTTAGGATATCATGTATGTACTTACAAGTGATTACAATACTGTACTTAAAATGTCCCTATCCTGGTGATGTGCCTCTCTCAAACCCAATTTTGTAACAGTAATTGTTAAAAAAATATATTATCTCTGTTACCCAATATTTAAAAATACCCCACCGCAGCAAACCTGCTGACTAAGTGAATTTCCAGTTGCCTGAATTGATTTTCAATTAAATGTATTTAACATTAGGTTTTATGAGTACATAGGCTTGCTGACACAGGGAGGGTAAAAAATTGTGTTTTTAGTAAAATATTAATAACTTTAGTATAAAATAAATAAACTTACCAAGTTTGATCAAAATATATCCATAAACAAGCAAACTACAACATTTTACAATATTCTCCATAAGAATAACCTGGGAATTTTAAAATAACAATTTTTTTGAATTTTCTCTGTAACCAATAATTGTACAAAAACACTTTGATATGCTAAATTATTTGTTTTTAGCTCTTTAAAAAGGTCTCTGGAGAGAAATAGGGAAATTTTGTGTTTAGAGGGTCAAAAATTTGAAAAGCCAATTTTTAATTGGCCCCTGTTTAACGTTTTAGGACGACTTATCATCAATTATCAATTATTTAAGATGGGGACGCCACTATGTGCGTATTTTAACCCAAATATGAGTGAAGGATGAGTGTAGGATGAGTGGCGCGATCTTGTAGTCTTGTTAGTGACTAAGGCCGACATGTTCCTTAGACACAGCTGTTAATTAATTAATAGCCCATACAGCTAATGACAACTAAGGGACCTACAGTTTATTGTGGAATCCGAACCACATTTTTCCTCGTAATTAACAAATTGGTCTAATTATTAGGATAGTACTGCGGATAGTCGTAGTACTCACTAGCGCGGACGTTAATCCACACCAGGGAGCATCGCATCTACAGTGCATCCCTATAAATATCCACAATTCGTGACCTCCTAGTAGCCGGATTACAGGACGACGCCACCCGTCCCAGTCATAACATCATAACAGACCCTCCAAATAGGAAGTCAATCTACGACTGGCATCGGCAATTCAAGGCCACAGGTTACTTTAGAAAAGGAAAGAGCTCTGGGAGACCAGCAATGTCTAATGATTATGTTGAGTGCAAGGGTTGTAAACACTCCAAGAATATCAACGCGGAGGGTGAGTATGGCTTTGCTTGTGGGGTTAGGTTAAAGACAGAGTCTTATACCTCCTTTGCCGTTTAATGTCTTGGAGAATAGGCATCATATTACTGGAGTAGTACAAAGTGTTGATGAGGCCACTCTTCAAAATGTTTGGTCAGATGTTTTTGATTTTATAATAGATGTCTGCAAAGCAAGCTGTGGTTCACATATTGAACACTTGTAGTATATAGGAAAAAACTTGAGGTTTTTATTTTTCTAATGGTGTATATGTTACTCTTTATAAGTCAGAAAAACTTCACAGTAATTTTTAAGCAAAGCTGTTTACTTCTTTTGTGTACACCCGGTATAATCTAATTTTTTTTAACTGCTGGCTTCAACCTCTTGATGATAATAGATATCTCTTCTTGCATCAATAGGTCAAAGGTCTCAACCAGTTTCTAATATATATGAGTGATGTGAGGGTTTTCCGCAGACATGTGATGGAGGGGGAGTGGCCCAAGATGTCGTCTCAGGCTCGTAGGACTCTAGGGTCGCTGAGGCAGAGGTTTACACTCTTCAGGACCTTCTACACCTTCTCCGCCTTCATCCTGGCAGCCTCTGTGACGCCCTTCCTTATACTGCTGTGTCTCGGTGAGTCAGTGGTCTTCTTTGTAAATTTGTTTTATATTTCTGACTCTTTATCTAGATTTAATTAGCCTACATGTTTTTAAAATTTCAACTATTATCTGAATCTAAAATACAGTGCTAAATTCATGACACTTCAAAGCACAAAACATTTTGGATATTTTGAAAATTCTAACCTCTTTATTATAACATATACAAGTCTCTATAACTATACACAATTCTGACCCATGGTGGAAGGAAAATACATAGGTGTGCTATTCCCGTTATATTCACTCAGATTGCATACAAAAGATCACCTGATTGTAACTGTCAAATTAAATTATAGTATTTGTTTTGATTTGGTTGTTATTGTTTTCATAATGAACACATTTAACTATTTTGAAAACATTATAAAAACAATAACAATCAAATAATAAAAAATACATACTAATTTGACAGTAACAATCAGGTGATCTTTTGTTTGCAATCTGAGTGACGTCAGAATATGAGGGGAATAGCACACCTGTGTATTTTCCTTCCACCATGATTCTGACCATTGTGAAACAAATCTGCTGTGACAAAGCTTTTTACATAACTCATATTTTGAAGTTAATTTTTTCCTGATTTTCTATGCTAGATTCCATGTGTGCATCGGTTCCATGTGTTCAGGTTCATCCTGTTAAAGTCACACATAGTCTACCCATTATTGATCTACTGTACCTGTTTTTCAGGTATCAACGTTTGTCGCATGTTCTGGCTGCGTATGTTGGAGAGGCTCTACCCTGAGTTGGAGTTCGTCTCATCCACGTCTGTTCGTACGACTGTGGACACGTTGCGCAACCAAGGGATCATCACTGTCGTTCTGCAAGTCAAGGGCCACTGTGACATACATCAGTTTCGGAGCAAGTTGCAGGTGAGTAAAGATGTTAAGGATGTCTATAGTCTCATACAAGCTCCCGTCGCGGTTGTGAACTAGTTAAAATCTTACAACAGCAGGAGTGTTCTGTATTACTTTATCCACTACAATTCTAGCCTTTTCCCCCCCCTATTCGATAATTATGAAGAAATCTCCCCAAAAACTTACACCAACTAAAAGGTTGTATGAATTTCACCCCAAATTAACTATTTCTTTTTATGAATTGGTGTAAATACCTGCTTCGTAGTAATCAAAAACTTTGCTAATGCCACAAGTAGTTTTGACTTTCAAGAAGTCATCTTCAGGCGACAAAAGATGTCATGATCACTCCTCAGAAGGCCGTCGATTCACATACAGTACATAGACACACAAACACAAATATTGAACGGTAAAATATGGTACATTCAAAACGAGTAAAAAACTAATAAAAAGTGGTAACAGCAGAATGAGGAATGATGTGTCACCACTGGATGGATGTAGAGTCTAGACTATTATTTCTGACTGATTTGTTTCTAATGCAATCCTTACTGTATACAGTCAGAAATCTTGGACCGCAAGAAGAATGGACAACTAGTGTTTCCGCACCTGCGGACAAGACTTACATCTCTGTGGGGTTGGTACGCCTGGTGCCGAGGATCCGACATCAACTTCAACATCAACAACCATGTAGCAGTTACGGAGGCGGTCTATAACAGTGGACTCCGAGATGATCTTAACTGTCAGGTCAGGTTAAGAGTGCATGTACATATTGCTAAATATTCTTTACTGTTTTTCAACTTGAAAAAATCAATGATGGGGATCGTTGAAGATAAAGATTAAAACCATTTTCGCTAAAAAGATGATTTGCTCTTTATAAATGCATATGAAAAAGATAATTTATTTTGAAAAAGTCTGGTACAGTGGGTGGAAATTGACTTTAAAGGGGAGAAGTAAAATCTCGAGTAGGTCTACCCTCTACCGCTACCCTAAGGGGAAGTTGTGACTTGTGGCATTATACATACTCAGGAATTGTAGTTGTAATCCATATATTACTCAATATCTACCTTTGGTTCAAAGACAGATTTTTATAGTTTTTTAAACAACCCAAACAAAATTATTCATCACCAATTTTAGAACTTTCTTTGGACTGGTTCATCATTTCATCTCCAAAACTTCAACTAAAAATGTTTTTTTTCTTCTAAAGAAATTTCTATATACAGTATACCTAAGGCTATTAGGGATTGATTGATTGATTGATTGATTGAATAAAAATACTTTTATTCCTAGTAGACCCTCTCTAATCCGGCACCACTCCGGCTTTCCAGTTATCGGGTGTCTTTTGACGGGTGAGGTCTTCTGCGATCGCGGCAAATTCTGATTATTTCCCGCGGCCGTGTAGATATCATCATCCACTCCCGCAGTCACAGAAACGTCATCATTGTATTTCGCAATATCGCGGCAAACATCTTCGTCATGCCCAATCGCGGCAATAGCGGTTTCCGATCATGCGATCTTCGGAGACGTGTTTGAAATGCATTTTAAGTGTTTTTATTGATAACATTCCAGTAATCCGACAGTATCACGGTCCTATATCAGCCAGATTACTGAGAGTCTACTGTAATATGAATTCAAAACCCTATTTTAATGTAAGTAGAAAAGTTGTATCCAACACAGAACTCTCAAGCATCTCTCTCTACTTTGTCCTAACAGAAGTTCATCAGTGAGATGGTGTCCAAGTACATCCGTCCAGATCATCCTCCGTGGCATCTCCTGGTAATCCCTTCCGCAGACAAGTTCTACGTGCTGATACGTCTGCACCACTTGTACCTCAGTGAGGAGAGGCTCGGTCTAGGAGACTTACTGTTGCTGGAGCCAGATACCCACGTCTGGTATGAGTTTCATCACATAATCTGATTCAAAATAATAATTGATCAAAATATGTAATTATTTATATAAGGTCGGGCATAAGTTTAATTTGTAAAATTTAAACTATAATCCACCATTCCGGCCTGTTTAAAGTATCCCAAAATAGTCAGTCTGTGGGAAAAAATGTTGGCAGTAAATAACACAAGCATTTGCAGCTTATTATCATGGTATTCAAACATAACACAACACATTGTATAGGTACTCGTTGGACGTTTAACTCTAACATTTATTTATATAATCAGATTTTAACTTAAAATAGGCTAAATTGTAGCAATGATAATAAAATAATTTATAAATAAAAAACTTTTTAAAACAAAATGTTTTTAAACGTACTAAAAAGTAGAAAATAATTTATAAATATGTGGAGAGTATTAATACTTGTAAGATTTAAAACCTTCACCTATTGAGCTTATGTATATTACGGTATCAATTGCATGCACTCCACGGGTTTTTTTTTAAATCTTACAAGTATTAATACTCTCCACATATTTATAAATTATTTTCTACTTTTTTGTGCATTTAAAAACGTTTTGTTTTAAAAAATGTTTTTTATTTATAAATTATTTTCTACTTTTTAGTTTTTAATGTGGATGTTAAATCTATTTCAAGAATCCATATCAGATTAAGACAGAACCATGTGGGAAATCTAAGATTTATTTGCATATAATTATGTATTAGATTGAATGTATGGTCTACCTACTAACTATAAATATATCAATCTATTTAATTTATTGTTTACGTTATAGAATACTAAATAAATAACAATTTACATTATTAACAAACACCACCTTTATATCTGCAACCAGATTGTTTATTTTTTTTTTAAATGTTTGTTTGTATAAAGAATCTCTTGGGAGCATAACCTGTACCTCTTAACCTCTGCTCTTCGAACTGTCAAATTTAAGTAAGTTTCAAGTCTCTAGCTCATCGGGTAGTATCAAAATTTGCAAGAAAGCGAGTTAATAAAACAAGCCCATGGGGTGTAGCCCAAGGGAAATATGAAAATATAATTATATAATGTATATTGCATTGTCATCCATTTGTGAGCTATGTTTCAAGTTTGAAGTCTCTAGCTCATCGGGAAGTTAGTATAAAATTGATTGCAAAATTTGTACCGGACAAGAAAGCGAGCTAATAAAAATCACAACCATTGACTACCGTATACACCTCTGTATAGTCAATGTCACAACTGATTTGCTTTTTCATTTTTGTTGTCCCCAGAGGCCAAAAACACTATCGTTGAAATGTTTATCTATAAGTATAAAAAAGGATGTTGGTTTGTATATTTGTATATTTGTATATATAATTACATACATACATACATATATGTGTTGGTGATCCCGATAACTCGAGGAATCGGAGAAAAGAAAAATGTTGTTATTATGCTTGTTTATGGAAATATTTTGATAAAATTTGGCTTTACAGTATTTATTTATTTCATTGTACAGTATTATCATTTGAACACAAATTTTCTATTACATCCCCTTAGCAGCAAAAATAAGTAGCCTACTCATTTAATATAATGATTTTTAAATGAGGAATAAATATGTCTTATAAACCCTTTAAGTGCTAGGCTATTAATTCATATTTTGTAAGACTTTTTTAGTTTTTTGTTTGCCTTTTAATTCCATTACCTGTTCTGGAATTGTCACTGTATTGTTTTCACTATTTTATTAATCAATTTTACCCCCCCGAATTTTACCTCTGGAATTTTACCCCCGAGACCAGATATATTAATTAGTGAGAATGGTTACTTATCTTCATTCAGTTTTAATTTAATAGTAAACATTTTATAATTAAGTAGCCTATCTTAATTTATTTGTAACATCAACTATAATCAAACAGGTTTTAATTTTTTATTTTGAGATCCAAGTATCAGGATTCGATCTTTGAAGCCAAACTGTTAGTTTATATGACGTATCAACAAACATCTGAATGGTAATTGTTTCGAAGATTTTTTTGACTATTTATTATACAACCGTGGTAAAAAAATGTTTTTGTTTTGGGTAATTGTACTATTAGAAACGAAATACATTGTGTTTCACGGTGGTACAATGAAATCGTTTAAGAAATGTTCACCCAATTATCATTTAAAATACCGTAGCTACTCAGTTTATTTTACATCCTTATTAACCAATAGTTGGCCCCAAACGCAAATCCCGAACATCAAAATTAAACAGTGAATTCTGTTTACTTAGTTGAGATTACAAAATAAATAAAAAAAGATAGGCTACTTAATAATTAAATGTTTACAATTAAATAAAAACAGAAATAAGAAAATCAATCATTCTTAATAATTTCTATATCCAGAAATAAAAAATTTTAGGCCAGGGGGTAAAATTCCGGGGGGTAAAAATCCGGGGGTAAAGTTCCTGGGGTAAAAATCCGGCCCGTACATCTTCAGTTCTCTAAACGCCATTTATGTGGACAGGGGGTAAAATTCCGGTTTTTATTGCTAATCTAATTAATCACGCTCTGCGAATTCCGCCCGCGAACGCTCAGGTTTCTACGTCATAGTGACGTCAGCTTTGCTCAGGGGGTAAAATTCCAGGGGGATAAAATTCCGGCGACCCCACTGTTGTGGTTCAGCTGAAAAAATCATTTAAATAGTCCGTGACTAACTAGTGCTGCTACCTAGTAATGCATTGAACAACTAGGTTGTAGTGCCGTCGGGTGCGCCATCTGTTTGAAATTTTTGACGTCAGCTTAAATTCCAGTTTTTACTCCATCGTTTAGACATACCCCTTGAATTATCGGATTGGGCGAATCTTTTAGCTAAGTGGTTGTTAGTGTATTCTATGAACATGCAGGTCACCAATGGCCGTTTTGCTACTTTTTGTTAAAATAACCTTCCTCTCTACATCCCTTAGAGATTTTAGTAAACAACGATGAATCGTTGCATAGCACTCAATGGGTTAATGGAAATATTTGAGTAGTAGAAATCCAATCAGACAGATTGAAATTCGCTTAGTCTGCAGGTTTCCTGCAGTGGGGGTATTTTTGACCCGTATCTTTACTTTTGTCCTGATATTCAATGTTTGTTTGCAGAATGTATGTTTGGCAGTGGCCTTGAATTAAAACAAAACAACTAAAATACCCAAAACCATTAATTAATTGGAATCAAGCTCATCATGGAAGGAAGTAAATTTGTCAAAGATTAAGTAAACACAATATTAATAAATTTCATTTCTGTAAATTCCTTGAAAAATTTTTTGAATTAATTTGTCAGCTTAAAGTATAATAATTACAATGCTTTAACTGTGGATGAACAAGTTTCCTAATTCTTTTCCGTTTTAAAACATTATGTAATCTATAATTTGTGTACAACGCATTTTTTTTTTTATAATTTCCATGTGATTTACTGTCAATATTCACTTCCAGGTCGGAAGAGGTAGAAGAGTATCTAGACCATGAGCACTTGCTGTCTGGAACATTCAAAACACCTGTGGCCATTCCCCAGGTCTACCAACACGTGTGTGAATCGTTCTCCAACTCCTGGAATGAGCTTGTCTCAGTCTACGACCCCCTGGAGAACCCGAAGATCACCTGCAGCACCCCTACACTGAAGAGCTTCATCATCCTCGCGGCCATTGTGGTGGTCTCCATCATCAAGATACACATCCGCAATGAGAACGGAAACCTGGTGGCCATAATCAAGAATGAGACTAAGAGGAGAGGGTGAGTAAATACGCGTTTTATGTTTGATTCATATTCGAATCTCTTGTCGTTTTGAAGGGAAAGCGTGAGAATTGGAGGGTTTCCTTATTGTGAATATATTAGTAGGAGGATAATTTACATATACTTAGTTCAATGGGAATCATATACCAGAAGAACGTAGTATCTATATACAGTATAAAACAAAAATAATAAGCATAATGTTAATAAACTGAGGTTAGACTAGTATTGTTTTAAAGCACCTGAATCCTGCTATAGACAGACTCTCCTCTTTTTGACGCATCCTCCTCTGGGTTATTTTGCTGTGCGAAATCTTCCCTACCGTTTTATAAAAGAAGGATTGTTAAATTTTCCAGATTATTTTATAATACGTTGAACACACTGAACTATTTCAAAGCTAAGGAAAGGACTTGATACTCTGACAACAATTCAAGAGCTGTCCGAGACTTAATGTTACCATTTCACAGATTGACTGCTCGGCTGTTCTGGCGATCGCTGCTTATGACGTTTCACCCGGTTGTGGTGACCAGAGCAGTTCTCATGTGGGTCTGGTGGATCCTAGTCAACTCTTCCCTCCAACTGCTCCGACTCACACTCAACATTCCGGTCTACTTCTACTGGATGATACTGGGATATCATGTACTTCGTGAGCTAGTCTACCTCAGCAAAGTCATCATAACCGCACCAAGAGTAGGTGAAACTCGTTTGCTTGGTCCTTAATTATTGTTGTTTGTTTAGTCTTGATATAAACATATTTTAATTATTAAGGCCTAATGTTTTTTAATAATATTGAAAGTGTTGTTTTCTTTTGTTTGACGAATGATGTATGATCATGATTTTGACTTTGTCAATGATCTAAATGTATCCTTATGACAAATAAAGATTATTATTATTATAATTTCTTACTTAAAAAACGATGAAGGCATTACATCTACGTCTTAGTCGCAATAGGTTTGCAATAAAAAATGTTGACGAGATATTTTATAAACAAAATTCTTAATTGTATGTATTGAAATGTTTATAGTGAGTCTGAAAGTTCTTGTAATGTTATGCTAACAAAAATGATTTTCTATTGCTGCTGAGATGACGGAGTGACGTAAGTTTTTATTCAAATGTCAGCAGTAGGCCTATATGAAGTGGACAATAATATTCTATAAGAAATCTAGACAAAAAGAATTATACGTAACATCCTCGTGAGAGCTCATGAGCTGTAGACAGTTGGAGACAGACGTTTAGGCTAAATAAATGCAACAATCGAAAGAAACATATTTTGATTGTACAAACCTCTTGCTAAGCAATCAAAGCAATCGATAAACGGAACATAATGAGATAAGGAACATTTTGACTAGGTGAAACCCGTCGAAATCGACGGTTAGGTACTTTCAAGGCTCACGCTAAATTCATCTAACTGCGATAAATTGAGTGAAATTATACATATATTGAGAATATTTTGGAACGTATTTTGGAAGAACCTTTATATAGTATTAAAATCGTTTTGGTAGATCCTTTGTAGTTAAACACTTCCGCGATTTCATCAGTGTAATGCATAATCTAGGATTTTATCTGAAAAAAAATCTGTTTGTTGGGAAGACACGTCCTAACTTCAAAGGGAGGTATATCCATTACAGTGTAAGTTTGATTTTTCCTTAGTTGTCTCAGCCTTATCAATTACATAAAGTTGTCAAAATAATCTCTCTACAGAATGTTAGGTGTAGTGAAATATACTCGAAGTGAAGTTGGCTTTAAACCTGGAACTGTTAGGGGCCTCCTCATTTATATGGTCGTGCGGCAACAAATAATGCAAATGACAAAGCAATGTGGCATTTCCAAAAAGGAAAAATAATTTTAATATGGCTGTTACATAAATATTGACGTTTACATGCATTATTATTCAACGTATCTTATAAAGGATGATGTGGTCTAGTTTAAAAGGAATATAACCTTTCTGTCATGACAGTAGCTGCTTAAATGCCAAAATGTTTGTGTTATTTTCAATAATATTACCAACCCAGTGGGCCACGGTCCGTAATATAGGCCACTGCAAATAATTTGTCAAGATAGGTACCATTTTAGGCAAGGTTTCTGTGTTTGGATGTTATTAGACATGGTAAGAGCACAATAAAATTTGTCTGCAGGTGAATTATCTGTTGGAGAAATATAAGCCGAATTGTAAATGTCACAATGCGAGTTTAGCATTTTGTAACTATATGGGTAAGTTACATAGATTTTTTTAGGCTGCTGCTCAGTGCACTTTAAGAATATATATTTTAAGATAAATTAAATTGTTTTTGTTGCTGAGTAGCGCTAGTAAACATGCACAATCCTTTTCGTTTGTCTAATAACATTCAAAGGCTCTCTAAGAGTTCAAGTTTTTATTTTTATACATATCTATATTACGTGTTCACTAAGCTGAATGAATACATCGAAGTAACCTCTCTGAAAAGTCTGCAGTACATTGCAGTTTTAACTTAATGACTTTCTAAATCATGCACATATTTCTACATAAACATTGTAAAATGTTTTATCCAGTTGCTGTAAACTACTATTATTTTAACAAAATATAGACACGGCTAAAATGGGCACCGTGCCCTTCTGCACTTGTATTATTTTGTATTGTATTACAATTACACAATCGAAGGTTTTTCCATTGATTGGAAACATGTATGACAATAATCTCATGAACCTATGATGATCTGTCTAGAATAATATGATAAAATATAGGCAAAGTTGGTGAAAAAGGCAGACACCAACCCGTAAAATAGATATAACATAGTTCAATAAGAAATAATTGTAAGAGTTACAGTGATAAAAGGATTTTCAACTGATTTCATAGTGCAACGTTATATTGCAAAACATGACATAATACAGAATTAAATCAATTTTAAAATCAGAAAATAACGTTGCAAATACTTCTTTTGGACAGTTCAGTAACTCCCAATAAATGTGTGTTGTTTAAAATACAATTTAAAAATTAACAGCTGTTTCATTAAAAAGTATTATCCACATGGCCAAAATGTAAACAAATCTGTGGAGGGGTCTTTAAAGGCTTCTGGGGTAGAGCCCTAAGCGAATTTACTTCGTTTTTCTTTTGATAACTCATCTACAGACCAAGACCTCTCTTTGGACACCTCTACCAAGTTTCTACGCCCAGCCGTTCTCTCAAATTAGTGGAGACAAAGTTTCCAATTAAATACTTAGATTTTCCCATGTTAATCTTATGGGAGAAAACCCAACTTTGATGGAAGATCCAGCCCAAACTAATAAAGATTTCAAAAAAATAAAAACACTTTGCAAAACTACAGATCAGGGCCATTCTTTTGACACTTTAATCATAAAAATCGGTCCAAAAATGAGGGAGTAGTTCTGTTCACAAAAATCGGCTTAGCGTATTATATATATAGATTGTTTATGCATTTCACAATCATGCATCACTAAATGTAATATACTATTACATTATTTTATAAGCAATTGCTCATTTTTTATTTAGGCTAATAGTCACAGATTAAATTCCTCTTAATAAAATAATTATAGGCATTCATTAATTCTATAGTTATTTGTGTAACTAGTGTGTGAAGTGGTGCTTTGCTGCACATGGGAGAAATGTTTAGCGGCAGGCAAGTGTGAAAAGTTTCTCAAGTGCAGCAAAGGCACTTTGCACTTGTGTTACACATTATATTTTTCCTACAGTTACTATAAAGCATATATATATATTAGTCTTTCAAACACTATAAAACCACAACACGTTTTTAGGCTAGGTTAGATCCAAGCATTGAATGAAATGGGAGACACTGCACCAGAGCTGATCATAGTCGTAGGCCCTAGTATATCTTTAAGTGTTGCCAACTTATTTTCAGGCATACACTTATTACATGCATAACAAAAGCACACGGTTTTGTGTTGTTTGGTTGGAATACTGGAGTGCGGCAAAAAAAAATTAGTGTGGCAAAAGATTTAGTGTGACAAAAGTGAGTAAATGCAGCAATTAGCTACTTTAATCAGTGCAAGAAAGCCCACTATGTCAGGTAAGGAAAATAAAATTGCGTAACATAAATAAGCATTTGGGTCTAATACCATACAGATGTGATTCAGAAACATTCTTAAGTTAAGTGAAAATAAACATTTATGTAATAGGTTCAACAAAAACATATTTAGTACAATACAATATTACAATTATGTCATTTAGACTGTCCATTAATAAAAATTGTAATCAATAACAATAATCAAAATGATACCCCGAATCAACTATAATAATTAAATATGTTCATACATATTGAGATTTAGGAGAAACTCACAAACTGTTTTTTACCTTCACACATGATGTTTGGGCAAACACAGTGGTACAACGTTTTTCCACTGCTAGTTTTGAAAGGTGTATTCTCATACTCCTCAGTGTTATACCCTCACACTGTTGTTGTCAATTGTCCAGGTGCTGCTGAGAGAGTTACTGTTCCCTAAGCCGGGTGTGGACAGTCACCACTTGCAGACCGTGTCACTGTGTGGTCGTAAGGCAGTCAGCTGGTCGGAGCCTGTGCCATTGGAGTTCATCCATCGCATACACACGGCCACTGGAGCCTCGTCCTGTGAGATCATGTTGGCGGCTGTGTCGGCCAGCCTCAGAGATTACTTCAGATATTTAGGGTTTAAAGTGAGTTTTGTTAAATGTTTGTTATATTTCTTCTAGAAGCTTTTTTGCTCAATGTTTGTAGGCTTTACTTATTGGTCACGCCGCTTAGATGAACAAAATTCCACTCTTTACAAACAGAAACCACCATACAAGGGTCCTGTCCTCTACAACCAGAGGAACTGAAATTATATTAGGAAGGAACCTGAAGACAGCCTGACGAATTGGCTACTGGACTGAAAACATACTTGATAACCGAGTTTGTTGATGGAGGAAAAAATAATCAACAGTTACCAGTGCATTTCTTATGTGTATGTAGACTCCCTCTATTTCAACTTTGGTTGGATTGGTTGCTGGATGGTCCGGTCAGTCTCAGGGGGATCAGTCACATCATCTAGGACGAATGACCTTCGACACAATTCAACTTAATGTTTGATTTCCGACCATAGCAGTAAACAGTTTAGTTGAAGGGTGCTTCTGCTTCTAAATCAGATCGGTTGCACTTTACCTATGGTAAACGGGTGTGTTAAACAGTCCGTTCTAATCTGTGATTTTATATGAGTATGTTATTTTATTTTACAACATATAATGCCTTTTTAAGGCAGATATTTTTTTGTGTATTAGATTGTTTTGCGGTTTGAACGGGGTGAGCGTTGTGTTTGCTGTATGGTGAAAACGAACAAAGACTATAAGGCAAAACTAGTCCAGTGTAGCAAAAACTCATCATTAAATGGAAACAAAAAGACATTAATTCAAGAAAGAGATGTCAAAACAGAAGATTAATTTTGGTTAGTCTCAGTAAAAAAAATATTAAATTATTTATATTTATTGATTTTAGCCATTGATAATTAATTTAAAACAGTATTTTTAACCTTTGATAATACATCCGGTTAGTCCAGCTGTTTTGTAGTCCTGCCGGTGTTCCCATCCCAAGGTGGCCGAACTACAGGGTGTCTACTGTAGGTTAAGTTTTGACGGATCACTGAACTTAGGGTGTTAAGATGAATTGGACATGTTTACATTTCAAATACTGAAGACAACCATGTTTAATCAGGATGTCTGTGGTGATCTGCAGGTTCCACAAATGGTGATGACGACGGCTCGCTTCATCCCTCAGGAGAAGCTACTGGCTCAGTCAGCCAGCTCTGTGCCACACGAGGGAGGCTTGTTGTGCCTAGACCTGCCATTGTGGCTGCCTGACGAACCTTTCGAAAACTTGGGTCTGTGAATCACTGGATCATGTTCAACTAAACAATAGCGAGGGTTTTTTAACACTTTAACATTGAGTATTTCATAAAATATGCAACCACAGGGAAAAAACCGAACTTAAAATAAACTAAGTTTTGCAGGGTTTCAATCAGCTCAATGACATCCAAAATAAATCTGTGTTAATTAGGCGATACGAACCTCAATGTGTATTAAGTTCTGTTAGAAAGTTTGAACAGATGCCTGTGCTGTTGCCAGTTCATAGAAATACAATAAAAAAAGAGTAAATATAGTTGAATTTGTAATGGATAAGAGACGAGTATTCATGCTGCATAAAAATGGAAAACAGAGATTTTTGCACCTACTTTATTCTACTGCTACAAATGAGATACTTTTACCCTGATATCAATTCCGTACTTTGTTTTGATCCATGATGGGGGGTTCAATGGAGACCTTAGTTTATGGGCAGCCGTTGTATTACAAATATGAATCCTTATGTAGAAAGTAAACATACAACAAAGCCAAAATTACAAAAATTAGTACTGTAACTAAAATGTTTTGGTATTTGTGATTGTGTTCATGCGGTAATAACAATTTTGCTGTTGATCATTGAAACCCAGTTGTATATATCTTTGACATTAATATGTATTTTCTGCATGTAGGAATTGTACAAGCAGCTCTGTTCAGGGCGCGAGCTAACCAGGCCCCTCTCTACCTAGCGTCATTGTTTGGTCTCGACCACTCTATAATTCCCAAGATCTTCCCTTCAATCATTGCTCGGATCATCCTAAACCTCCTGTCTCGGAGATATGCCGTCACAATCACACAGGTTGGTAGACCTGTCATGATTTATTGAAGATTAATTTATGTTTTGCTTCAACCTAATAACTAAAAATCAACAAGTTTTTTGTTTTGTATAAAATTAGGTTGACATTTGTACTCTACTATTTAACTATCACATTTTCATTTATTTTGCATCAGTTAAGTATGTAGGGTACTTACTTATGAAATACATTGATTTCGAGTAGTTTTATACTCCGTTCACAAAATTTAGGCGGTTTTAGGAGAAGAAATCCATTCCCTCCACTTGATACTACCTTTAAAACAACACCATAACTCAAAAGGTGAGGTTTGCCAAAACGTCAATCAGCTGCAACATACATTAAGCAAAAAAGTGGTGGGGGAACTTCCCCTCCAACTGCTTAAATTTTGTGAAAGGAATATAAGTAACTAAGTTGAAGGCAGTAAACTGTAAATAACTTCAGATGATTAACTATCACTTCAGATGATGAACCAATGGGAGTTTAATTAAAACTTGTGCAATGACTGAGTCCGGTTGAAACTTGATTCAAAGTTTTAACAATATTTTTAGCGTGGGTACTATTAACTAAGAGTACCTACCTATTAAATTTAAGTATTATCAAATTGATTTCTCATCTCCCCTTATAATTTCCAGAATATGGTTTTACTTCCTTTACTTATCATAAATTTTTAACAATTTGGTATTCTCAGGTTTTTTTTATTATTGTACCTGTGTCTCGAATTTGAGCAATTGCTAAGTATTACAGGCGTTATTTTAAAACAAATAACAGTCATAATTTCTGATGGCTTTAAAAGATTCAACTCGAAGATTATGGAAATACTCAAGATGTACATAACAGATCAATATAATCAACATTTCTTGATAATATCTGATAATTTTTCTAAAGCTGATCTTTTTTTTAGTGTTTTCTACAAATATCCTTACTCATAGCCGCATTAGGTTGTCCATAATAACAATTATAAATTCTAAAAATAAAAAACATTATTTCTATTTCTTCTCCTTGGTGGTGTTCTGACTTTCCTATGTCTCCATAGTTTGCAAATCGGCTCTATCAATGATTACTAAGAAATGCAGCACAGTGTAAATTCAGTTTTCTTTTTAGTAAATCAAATTATCAAGGCTCTCTCTCGCTTTTTTCCATTATAATATTTACGCCAACCCAAATTCAAATAGTAAATAAATATTTCATTTCAACCAAGTCAGTAAATGTTTGTAGAAAACTGTTAAATTAGCAAACTTATTGACTGTTTAAAATTAATTAACATATGTTCTTCTTCTCTGGAGTTTCATAAAAATGTTTGTTTCCCATGTTAATCTTATTGAGAAATACAAAACTTTAAAGGGCCCCGCAGGACCTCACTCTCTAATTAATTTCCCAAAAAAGAAAGTTTCCAGCACAACTTCACGTTACCCTCTTTTCAATGACACCAAAAACATGTCAATTGGTTCAGTAGTTTCGGAGGAGTAATTGTCACAAAAAACCTACTTGCGTATTATAAATAAGTAATAGATAGATATATATATATCTCCGTGAACGCGATAACTTGAGTAATTTTTGTCCGATTTTGATGAAATTTGGTTTAAAGGTGTAATGTGGGATAAACTTGAATGAGTTCGCGAACCAGCATGATCGGACCATGGAAACGGGTTTTATGGGGTAAAAATTGGGTTTTCTCATTTTTGACCCTCAAAACACAAAATTTCCCAATTTCTCTCTAGACCTTTTTAAATAGCTTAAAAAAACAAATAATTTATTATATCGAAGTGTTTTTGTACGGTTATTGGTAACAAATTGTAAATTTAAATTTCCCATGTTATTCTTATGGAGAATATTATAAAATGTTGTAATTTGCTTGTTTATGGATATATTTTGATCAAACTTGGCAAATTTATTTATTTTATACTAAGCTTTTAATATTTTACTAAAAAACACACTTTATTAGTTTCCTAGTAGCAGCAAACCTAGGTATTTGTTAAACCAAGAATGTTATTTAAATAGATTTAATTGAAAATCAATTCAGATAAATGGAAATTCGCTTAGTCGGCAGGTTTGCTGCAGTGGGGGTATTTTTTATATCTACATTTTATACAATGGTATTTAGGTTGACGCTACCAGCACGGAGAAGAAGAGAAGACGGATGTTGTGGGGACAGGAAGTGGAGGGGATAATGTACTGGAGGCCTCCACAGGCCAACATAAGTAAAAGAAACTTTACTTTCGTATTTAGTAGTAGTATGCATTCTTGTAACAATATTAAATAGGTCCTTATATTGGAAATTCGCTAAAACAGTTTGGTGTCAAACATTTGAGCTTAATAATATATTTTTTTGTTTTACTGGTATATCTTGAACAACTATTAATAGATGGATTTACAGATCGTGTTTAATTAAATTCCATTTTGTAGCCCCTGAACTGCGTAGTATAGACTAAACTTTACATACCTCGTCTTGAATATTTTCGAATTTGAAGTAACATGTTGACGAGTCCAAATTGGATAAAATGTTTTCTGTAACCACTTGAGAATGCCATATATGGCGAAACATATGTAGTGGACTTCAAACACTATATTTGAACTGCAAGACGAGGTATGTAAAGTTTAGTTGTGTTTAATCTGTTGCCAGTATTTGGATCAAATAATGGTAAGTTATAGTCATATTAGATTACCGTTGTTTTTGTATGCTTGAGTAGGTAAGATAATTAATTGTGTTACATTATGCAATTCTCCTCCTGATGCAGCATCTTCAGGGGTCTTCTTAATTCATCTTCTTACCACTAACACTATAGACAATATTTACACATTACACAAACATATTTACACATTATACCTACATAAGAATAATCTAAGACGTCAAATAACTTTTCCCAGTCCCTTCATGATTCTGAAGAAAACCCATTCAAAACCGTTAAAAAAGTACAATAAAGGTACCAAAAATAGAAACGTTTAAATACAAATGTATGAAGACTACACCAGCTCTACAATTTTCAAATTAATATACGACATAGAAACTAACGAAAATGGAAACACAGCAAGAAACCGGCAACACTACATAGATCAAAGCACCCACCCGACCATAAATCAAGAAAGTCTTAACTACCCTCAACTTTCAAAAACGGCCCAAATTCAAAAATATGCTATTATAAAAGAACATACCTTCACACATACGTCTCATAATTGAATTGTGTGTGGTATGTACTAGTCCTAGAAATGAAAGGAGGAAGAAAGACCTTGCTGTGACTCTGTCACGTGTCCGTTGTCCGACCAACCAGACCTCGATGCTAGTGAATGACTGTGTGTGTGTGTGTAAATATAGACTATAGTGTTAGTGTTAAGAAGATAAATGAAGAAGACTCCTAATGAGTTCACCAGGTGGAAAAATGCATATGATTGTGTAACACAAATTAACATCTTGCCTACTCAAGAACTACAGGCTGCAATAAAGGTAATCTAATATAATTAAAGTTCTTGAAACTGGGATGGAAAAATAAACAAATGAGTTGTAGATTTATCGAGTCGCATAAGGATTGCTTTAGTGTCAATTACTTGTAATTGAAAACAAAAACTATTAATGAAGCCAAACTAAAGGTCAATTACATTGAATGACCTCAGTTGGCATGGGGACTCCAGTGAGTTGCCAATGAAGCATTCTTTGCTACTTCAAGCATCATAGTTACAAACTAAAGGAGGAAATTGAATGTTATCAGCAACACACTCTGTGCTGGTCAGATAATCACATCAGCTCTTGACTGTGTGTGATTTTTTAATGAAATTCATTAATTCAATAAGGATAACAAATTGGCTACTTTTCTCCAGATAGATGGAATGTCTATTTCAATCACTAAAAGTCATTAGGTTCAACAATTATTACATATTGCATCTGAGATACTTTGTTTTTGTTGTCATAGGTCTGTCTCTGACAATCATGAGCTATGGAGACTCAGTCAGGCTGGGAGTCATGTCAGACACCCAGATATCACCACAACACTCGGTGGTCAGTTACAACTTTGACAAACACATCACACAGTTGGCCACCCTAGCCGGAGTCAGCAGACGACCTTCGCGATCATCCTTGGACAGCTGATGTGGCAACCACCAGCTGTTCTTTAATATCCATGATGGATTCGCTTCGGCTTCGGGTTGGTCAAAATTAGCAGTTTACATTACCTGACCCTTTTTAATGGGTAGTTTTTACGCCAGGGTTAGCTCCTGAATGGTAAATGTAAGATGTATTACTCACCAGCTATGTTCCTCAGTTGGGGAGTTACACTGAGCTGTAATTACAACTGGAGTCACCACTATGTGTTTAAAAAGCGTACCGGTACCACTGTTTTGCTGCTTTTTCAGTTTTTCGTATTGTTATGTTGGCCTATGATCGGTTGGTTGGATAGCTGTCAAATTCGAACCAATCAGATGGGGTTATTTTTGACAAGTCCAACCAACCAAGACTGTGTGACCAACCACGGCAACAAGCGGCCATCTTGATGGCACCCTTTTCTCTAATTTACAACTGGAGAGTAGTGACTCCAGTTATAATCTATTCATCTCAATAGTGAGTAATAATATATCTTGCCTGAGTAGTTTTATCAAACAACAGCTGTTTTATGTGTCAAGAGTGCATCATTCATAAGCCAATCATAACCTAATGAGCTTCGTTGATGTTTGAAACAGCTGTAATTAGATAAAATACATAGGATCATTAGATACAAGCATTGAGTATTAGATACTGAAGTAGACATCCCATCTATATAGACCAGGGGCCTATTTCATAATAAACTACATTTTACAAGTTACAACTTGTAACTTGTAATTTCCGTTAGATATGCATTGGGCCATCAGCTAATTTACTAATAATATTAGTTTGTACTTTATTATGAAAAAGGCCCCTGGGGCCCATTTCATAATAAAGTACAAACTAATATTATTAGTAAATCAGCTGATCGCCCAATGCAAATCTTATGGAAATTACAAGTTACAAGTTGTAACTTGTAACTTGTAGTTTATTATGAAATGGGCCCCAGGTGTCACAAATTTGTTTTATTAAAAAATAACATAGTTGTATGAGCCAGTCACAGAATGTGCTAGTGTCTAAAGTTCTATTTCCAGCCTCATTATTTTATTGCAGGCCAAATTGCTGGGTCACAACAGTTGTTATAGCTCACAATAAGTCAATTAATTATTTTGACTTGGTAAAATAGTTTGTGTATTCGACAGAAATTAGTAATTTAGATCAGCATAATCTGTCGGTGGCTCATATCAACTAGACATACGATTTTAATTGAAAAACTGGTGACAACTTTAACATGGGGGTGGTATGTCTATTGGTATCAATACTCAAAGATAGAAGTCAAGTAAGTTGAACATTTGTTTATCCTTGTAGATTTGTAAGGTTATGTTGGTTTAATTAAACATAATATATGTAAACTATCCATTATTATTTATTTAAAAATATTGATGTATAATGTTGTGTTGGTTGGAGTATACACTTCTTTTTAAACCTCCTATGGTCAGAATTGCAGCCCCGGATGAACTCACATTTTACATTTGTCATGATTGTAAGCCTTTGAGCAGTTTCCAAACCTACATTTCTGGCCCAGGGTGTAGAAAATTGATGGCTTATTGTAGGGGAGAGCTCTGACTGTGGTGAATTTTTTTTTTATTTCTGAGTTGCTGGTTAGTCTGCAGAGTATAATAATTATAAACAAGCACAATTATCATACTCTATATGCCCTAGATAAGATTTTCTTGCTATAAACCTCTGTTTAAAATGTTACATTCACAAATGGAACGACAGGTATAAACACATTTGCAAATTAAGATTTACCCTTTTTGAGAAAACTTCCAGAGCTTGATCTGTTTCCTAAAACAATTTCACAGTGCTAACAACTAAGTAGATATCGCTGTATATATCTACTCTAGTTATGACTTACCTATATACAATTCTTTGAAATGGGTGATAAGTTAAATAAATAATTAATCTTAATGTAGATTTAGAATAGATATTATATAATCTATATATACTGACTAGACTATCGACATTTTATTTTATTAGTAACCTAAGTGAGTGTTCCTCATAAATAATACTGATATGGATACTAGTCACTAATATTTGTTTAATACATTTTGTTGTTGTAGAATCTTTGACTATGTATGTACATTGCAGTAGATATTACATTGCCATGTTAAATCTTTATGTAGTTCTAGAATAAAAAGGATTGTAGTTCAGTTGAGCCACTGACTTGAGCATGATACAGTAAAATACACTTTTCTATTTTTTGTTCTATTACGCATCTGTAGCATCTTTTATGTGCCGACCTACTATCAGAGTAGGGCAGTGTTGTAGTGGTAAATTTTCCAGTGCAGGAACGTATTGTAGAAAAATATGGGTTGCCTATAAAGAGTGGGAACGCCATTCCTACACATTCTTGCCCTTCTACACCACTGATAATAGTAGGCCTATGAAAAGCAATATAAACAAATAAGCTGCAACTTAAATAGTAGCAGGGTGGTAAAAAAGTCCCTGGACAGTTAAATATTTTAAAAAAATAATGAAGATAGAGCTACAATACTTGGTACAAAGTTACAGGGCATAAAACTCTATTTTAACACATATTCAGTGATCCAATAACTCTTCAGGGGGACGGCCCACAAGGAGTCGGAAGAAAATCTTAAATGGAAGCATAGGTCAATATGCACATCAAATTAAAGGTCTTTTTTAGTAGAATACAATGCCGCAAACCGCACTTCAAAAGGTTGATCCTGCGCAAAATGACAGTTGTTCAAAGATTCATTTAATTAACATTGCTATTATACGCTTTCTCCTCAGGGGGCACAGCCCTAGGAATCGGAAGAAAATTGTTAACGTAAAAATAGGTCGATATGCACATCAAATTAAAGGTCTTCACTTGTAGATTACGATGCCGTAAATTCAAGCTCAAAAAAATGCCTGAGTAAAAAATGGCAGTCGTTTAAAGATTCAAAATGGCGGATTCAAGAAATCTTTGAACATCTGCCATTTTGCGCTGGATCAACTTTTTGAAGTGCGGTTTGCGGCATTGTATTCTACTAAAAAAGACCTTTAATTTGATGTGCATATTGACCTATGCTTCCATTTAAGATTTTCTTCCGACTCCTTGTGGGCCGTCCCCCTGAAGAGTTATTGGATCACTGAATATGTGTTAAAATAGAGTTTTATGCCCTGTAACTTTGTACCAAGTATTGTAGCTCTATCTTCATTATTTTTTAAAATATTTAACTGTCCAGGGACTATTTTACCACCCTGTATACTCTATCGACTCTATGGGAGATTCACTGCTTTATGTTCAGTTTGAGTAATCACACTTAAGCTACATCTGGTCCATTTGCATGGGACGTCTACTGCAACATCCAAAGTCAATGTTAGAAGATAGAACATATGTTATGTTAGTGAAACTCAACTGTAAATAAATGTATAGAAAAAATTTGACTTTCAACTGAGTGAATCTATTTTTTTAGATATAATGACTGTTGTGCATCTTTTATAGCTAATGTTATAACAATTTTATAAATGGTTGTTTCTTTTTTACCTTGCCGTTTAAGGTTTTTGCAAAAGCTCGGCTGATTACATCTTATATTGTGGCTAGCAGAACAGTATTTTAACAGCTGTAATTAAATAAGGGCTATTTATTAACAGCTGTGTCTAAGGAATATGTCGGCCTTAGTCACTAACAAGACCACAAGATTGCGCCACTCATCCTACACACTCATCTCCATTCAAACTTGGCTTAAAATATCTTCTTTCGTATGCTCACCATTTCAAAGAAAAGTATTAAAGTATTACAAGTAGTTATAATTTATTTTTCCTACAGTTACCTAACAAAGCCCAAGGCTACTGAAAAAGAGGTTGCCTCAGTCGTGCATATGACGTCACCCGCCGACCCGGTCGGTGCTGCTTTTAATTCACAAAGCTGCCACCAGTCAAATTCTTTGTTTTTGTTGATTGTTTTTCATTTATTTATTTTCACAGAACCTCTTCAGAAAAGCAAACAACAACAACAAAGAATTTGACATGTGGCAGCTGTGTGAATTAAAAGCAGCACCGACGGGGTCAGCAGGTGACTTCATACACACAACTGAGGCAACCTTTTTTTCAGTAGCCTTGGACAAAGCTGGCTTTCTTATACTGATTGTTGGCAAAACTTAAAGATACTACGACTACGATCAGCTGTTGCAGTGTTTCCCATTTCCTTCAAGCTTGGATTTAATCAAACCTAAAACTTGTTGTTTGGTGTTTGAAAGACTAATTATTTCAATGCTTTTTAGTTACTGTAGGAAAAATATAATGTGTAACACGAGCGCAAAGTGCCTTTGCTGCACTCACGAAATTTTCCACAATCGCCTGCAGCTAAACATTTCATGTGCAGCAAAGTGCCACTTCACACATTAGTTACACAAATAACTATTTCCTACAGTTACCTAACAATGCAGGCTTTCTGCAAACAACAAAGTAGCTGATTCCTGCATTTACTTACTTTCCCGCACTCTGGTATTTCAACCAAACAATACAAAACTAGTGTGCTTGTATAAGGCACGTAAGTTAATACGAGTATGCCTGAAAACAAGTAGGCAACACTGCTAAATCGATCAGCTGGTGCAGTGTCTATTTGTCGTTCATCACTTTAGACTTAACCAACCTTTGACCATCGATCAACTAAACTTAACCTATAAACCTGTTGTTGCATGTTAACATAAACATTACAAACCAAGAATTATATTCAAATTTTGATTCATTATTATGTTTGTGAAATTTCATTTAGATTTTTGATGTAGGCTACCTAAAGTTGATTCAGCTTTTTGCGAGCTGTTTCCACAAATAACTACCTCAATTGTGAAAGAATGCACTCATAAACTTTAAAATGAGGTTTTCGTCTTTTCAACTATAGTAAATTTATTTTATAAAATTCAAGGAACATTTTATTTTGAATCCAAGTAGAATCATTTATCTATACATACGGCAAATATGGATCACCAACTTTTGAGAAAACCGTAACCTGTAAACCTATCACCCGCATACTTGAATGAAAGGTCTCATTTTTTCAATAAACCTCTTAATGCCACCAATTCCAATTAAAGAGCTGTATATAATCACATTATAAATACTGGAAATGAGTCTTAGTTAAACTTTTGATAGTTTTCATAGATTTTTTATGTTAGAGTGTGAAAAGAGACAAAATATATTTTATTATAGTGTGGGAATCTTGGGATGGTATTTACTTTTAGTGGTCAAACGATTACATTTTTTAAATATATTTTAAAATTGTCAACATATTAGTTCTGTTTCCGTACCTTTAAAGCAAAGTAATTGATGTCGCCAAAACATTTGTTGTTTAATTCTGTGGAACAAAAACTATTTAATTCAGAAGGAAACTTAAATATGTACCTATTCTAACTGGAAAGACGTAGCTCAACTGTTAGAATGTTTTTCTTTATGACATACATCCCCCTTATCATCTCACTCACTCCACATTCACCTTGTACTAATATTCAGCTTAGAAAATGTACCCAAGTTTGTGTCGCGGTCTCAAAGAATTGATAATTGACTCAGCGGCAGTTTGCATTAGACGAGGTAGGCCAACACTTGTTCGCAAAGGAAGATAATAGTGCTAATTGATTACAATGTATGTGAATGTACAAAAAATATTAGATTTCAAATTATGAGCCTCCATTATTTTGTGGGCATGGCCAAATTTACCTCAATTCGGTATTTATTTGGCCAGTTTTATTCTGGGAAACAGAAAAACGCCTCTTATTGCATATATTTTAAATTGGTGTAAATACCTGCTTTGTAGTAATTATAAATGTTGCTAGTGTCGCAGCTAGTTTCGACTTTCTACAAAGTCATCTTCAGGCGTCCAGGATGTCAAAAGGGTGGTCACTTCATTTGAAGTGACCACCCTTTAGACATCCTCGTATGTAATGACGACCTTCATATGAAGTGACCACCCTTTTTACATCCTTGACGCCTGAAGATGACTTTGTAGAAAGTCGAAACTAGTTGCGACACTAGCAAAAATTAGTACATTACTAAGAAGCAGGTATTTACACCAATTTAATATGTTCAACGTAATCTGGAGGCTAACTTCTAAAATGAAGATATATTATGTTGAATGTGGTTGTGCATTAGCAAAAATAATCAAGGTATTAGTGACATAGTGACCAAAACCACTAATGTCAGTATGATCTCCTGGCAGCCACACATGATATTGCAGCATGTTTCAGTCGTCGGATGTAGCTCCTCAGTATATTGCACACAGAATACTACATTTATAATGGTTTACGATACCTGCACATAGTAATCCTTTGTTGCTATTTTGAAAAACTTCTTTCGGTTCTTCTGAACCATCATCAGGCCTCAAGGTTTCAGGTAATTAACAGAGTTCAATAAATAAAACTTATATGAACACGATAACAAAGAACAGACAAACGTTTACAAAACACACAAAGGGACATTGACAAAATCAAATGTGACCTGGCTGAAGTAGAGTCTAGACTGGCGGTCAAGGTCGTCTATCCTATGACGTCTCCATTCATTCATTGTTCCCCACCAGTATCCTGATAGCTGTATTATAAATATAGTTCGATTGGAAGGAAAGTTTATCGTTCAAAACGTTTCGATGGTCGGTTTCAACTGCTCTGTATATTTCACACTCTTCCAATTCCAATGTATTTCTGGTTAAACGGGCCTGTGAGAAATGTAAAACTTCCATATTATGATTGATGTCTGAATAATTGGGGTTATGTAACACCAGATTTTCCGCAAAATGTTATTTTTGGGGAGCTTTTGCAAATTTGGTCAATATAGTACTTTGTGCAATCAATTAAATTATTGCACAAACCACACCAATGATATTGACCAGATTTCACGCTCTTGAAATTCAAAAAACATTAGCCTATTTGGGGGAAAAATAGTGAGTCAAATCGGTACTGGAGACGAAACATCATATCACCCCAGAATCCGAGCCACAACTCATGGAATGACTCAACCACCCCCCCCCCCTCAATTTTAAAGCTCTTTCAAGGCCGGCCCGAGTGTTCTTCCTCATGGACATTTTCATGTAAATAAAAAAATGACATATATGAAATAAAATAGTTTTATTAGTACAAAAATCAGCTAATACAAAGCAAAATCATGGTAATTCAAAACTTACAGGTACACAATAGTTTACTCATGCCTTCATTACAACAATTCATTGAATTGAAGACAACCAAAAATTAGAACATAACAATCATAGAATTTAGAATTTAGTTTATTTTTTGTTTGAATTTATATAACTTAGAAATCATTCAGCGGTTCAACACTATAAGGTAAATTGGAAGCAAAAAAGAGCAATCAACATGTTTCAGTATCGGATATTATACATCTAAAAATTAAGTCATAGATTTACTCATATTTAAATAAAGCTACATTCACTTAAAACAACCTACATCTGATCAAGTAAAATCAGTCTTTCCCTTGTTTAAGTTCCATTTGTTGAGCGAAAAGAGTTTGTTACAGTTCAATCACATTTGACCATTTAAGAAAAATACTAATGTACATTAGAAATTGAAACTGAACAACACTACTTACTTCTTTACTTCTTCAGTGCAAGATTTTTTGACCACAGGTTCATTCACAGTCTCTTCATCCGGTTTCCTCTTTTTCCTTACAAGATGTGAAATATCAGTAGCTGGTTTATGAACAGTTCCATTAGTAACTGGAACTGAGCTAGAAGAAGAGGAAGAACCAGCACCATCACTGCTTTGAGGCGCCTCTCTTATCTTTTCAATGACTCTCTTCAATGTCTCTTGCTTGAAGTCTTCCATGTCAGAGATTTTCGTTTTGATTTCTGGCAACAATGCCTTTATTTCACTAACCTCTTTTTCCACTGAGTAGAAAGGGTCTTTTTCAGTATCCACTTCAGGGGCACCATGATCCTCCAACTCCTTGATTCGCGCTTCCAAAATTTCACAGGATGTTTTAAAATTAACTATTGCTTCATCAAACTCGTTAGACAAAGAACATGCGATTCCCAGCTGAAAGTAGGTCTCTGCAATGTCTCTATGATGGGGAGGAAGAATTTGTTTTTGGATTTCAACACATTTCTTCATATCGTCAACTGCACTGACATAATTTTCAGATTCCATTCCAACCTCTCCCAAAAACAAATATGTCTGTGCTAGCTTAGCATCTTCTTTTTGGCGTTCATAAATGTTTTTGGCAAGTTCAAACACTTCCCATGCAAGCTGGAGATTATCTACGTCTTCCTCCTTTTCCTCTTCACCTTCTTCGACCTCATTAACCTCTTTTGTTGTATCAATGGTTTCATCAGCAACGGCTTCTTTGTCTTCGTTCTTGGTATCATCATCTTTAGCATCATCATCAGCCTCTGTTTCTTTTGTGTTTTTAGCTTCAGCTTCACCCTCTTCACTCTTTCCTTCTCCTTCTTCCTCTCCTCCTTCATCCTCTCCTTCCTCTTCATTTTCTTCACCATCATCTTTTTCAGGCTCTGTTCCTAATACGTTACTTTCTTCTCTAGCAAGCTCCAAGAGGGCTCTCCCGTAGTTGAAATATGCTTCTGCACACTCGTCGGCCAGATCTCCATGTGCTTCAGCAAATTTCGCACAAGCATCTCCCAACAGACTCACAGCAGTTGAAAAGTCTTTGATGAACAAGTGTCTTTTTCCTTGAGCCAGCAAAACTTCAGGATCATTCTTATCAGGGGATTTCTTCTCAGGGCTGGTGGAGGAGACACCATTTTCTGAAGTTCCATTTGTAGCTGTTTTTTTTTGTTCTGTACTACCCTCTGCCTCTGCTTTTTCGACAGATGACTGCAAAACTCCCTCATTTACTTCAGGCATTCTGTAAAAATATATCTAATGTACATCTTTGACGCTTTTCTAAATTTATGAGAGGTTTTTGGCATTAAAATGTATAATTAAATGAGTTAGTTTATGGGTGTGGGTGAGATAAAGGAGAAACAAATTTATGGGTGAAAGTGTCCTATGTTGGCATTATTAATGTTTCTTACTAGCTATGGTAGAACACTGGTGGTCAAAGCAGAGTTAACTGTTTGCAGCAATTCCAAATTGAATTGTGTTAAAATTCAAACATTCACTGCAGAAACTCTACTAAAAAGATCAATTTTTGCAAAGTGTATTGAAATTGGACATTTAAAGACATTAATTTATAAATAATAAATTGATAATCAGTTTAGATGATCGGCAGACTGCTAGAATCAGACTGTTTTTACTTGAAGTGAAGACGAAGAAGAGGAGGATATTTTACAAGATGAGACTGTTCAGTCAGATCACAACGAAATTGATGATGTTCGTGAGTCAGACCATAACACTGATATTCATATTAAAACATCTTTGTACATGATAACTCCTGTATACTTGTGGTACAGTGAATAGTGTCTAAATACATAAAATAAAAATACTATTACTATTTCTGGGAGGTGGAAAACTTGTCAAAAGAATACAATGCTAAATTTAGTATATGCTCTTTTTCTTAAATATTGGTAGGTCCATTTTTTTATGAATTCAGGGACAAATTTTAGAAATATTTTAATTTGTGGGGCTGGACAAACTCCCTTCTCCTCCTGAAATTATAATAATGCAATGAATTTATTACTTCCTCTGATTCATGTTTTGCGATAAGAAATGTTTCATAAATATATTGCCCATAAACTGTAAAAAATTGTAATTTCTTAAAATGTTCTCTTGCCAAATCCTTTAGTTTAAGCTTAGGCCTAAGCATAAATCTGATAGCCTCTTTTAGCAGCTTCCGAATGCTATCCATATGTAATGTTTTTGATGGCCCTTAAAATGCTTAACCGAATGAAAGATGATAGTGAGTGTGAGCAAAATATATATAGCCTACTTTTTAGGGTTTTCAAATTACAATAAAAAGACATTTTTGATAATGCAAAGATTCCGGAGTTAGTTTTGATTACAACTTATTGATTTTCCTTTTGAATGTTATTTGAGTTGCACGTTATTGTTGGTTCTTTTGTGATTTTTTTCTGTGCTGTTATGAAATTTATAAATTTAGTTTTTTGGGAATTTAATAATACGTTATGATTGTAGAAATAGTTTCCAATATTCTTTTTAAATCTACATTATGTAAAATTTCAGTTTCTTCTGGAGGGTTAGATAACACAATAAAATTAAAACCATTAGCATATAAACACATAATAATTTAGAATTTTGCTTATAGGTTACTACTATCTTCCATGCCCTTTAGGGTAACACATATATAGTCAATGGTAACACAAAAAAAGCGAAGGTCCCAAAATTAAACCTTGTGGCATCCCAAATTTAACACGTTTGCGGCGGCATGGGAACGGTACCCTAATGCCATCCTGGTGGGTGCGATCGCTCCCAAGCTGCAATGCAGTACGAAATGATTTGTTTTTAAGCCAGGATTAGAGCTAGAAACTTGAAACCTTGCACAGCACTGCTCAATAGTATACTGTATTTTGTTGTGGTGTTGGTTGGTAGTAAATCTTCCCGTAAATCCCCGTCTGGCAATCTCAAAATTCTACTTTTGTCCCGTCTTTTTCCCTCCATTTGGCAATACAATTCCAATGGGACCGGCTACGTTACAAGCAGTGCTGCTATCTGTTGGTGTTTAGCGAACTACGTCGACTCTTGTTGTAAAGCAGGACATCCTCGCACGTTATTTACTATTTGTCAGCCCGAAATTGGAAAGCCAATCACACGCGGCAATCGGGTTTGTTCGATGCTGAGGGCTGCACCGGACCTGGGATACGCCCGCCATTTGACGTGCCGCCGCGAACGTGTTAATTTGTTCATAAGTTGATGATGATTTGATAATTCTATTATGATTTTTTGTCAAATGGGTAATACAAATGGGTGATACAGAAGATGACACGGAAGGGAGAAGAAAATAGGATATCTCTAAACATGCCTAGGTGGACGAATTTGAGAATGCTTTTGAACCTCACAATATTGTTTATGTTGATAACGAGATTGAAGAGGTGTTATATTTTTATTGCAAAAGATAAACAAACATTGTGGAAAAAACATCCAACTGTTGCAGCAGCTACTACTCGAGCTAGACCAGTGAATATTATAAAACGGGTACCAGGCCCTAAAATGCTGGAAAGTAAGCTAAAACCAATTGAATGTTACAATTTAATGATTGATGATGAGATTCTTGAAGTAATTGTTACGTACACAAATGTGTATTGAAAGTAAATCTCAAACTTTTTCAAAGCTCAGAGATGGAAAGCCCACTGACAAAATTGAAATTGGCGTTTATAGGTTTATTGATATTGGCAGTAGCCATGAGATCAGGTCATCAAAACCTTGCAGAGTTGTGGGCCAAGGATGGTTTTGGAATAAAATATTTTACTCGACAATGAGTTTGAGACGCTTTCCACTTTCCACAATCACATTCCTTTTCAATCAATATTAGCGTAGCCCAGTTAAGAAACTGTACCCGGCAATTCTTCAAAAAGGTCACACCATCAAAAAGGAATCGTATGGGTCCATGGAGGATTATTTCTATCTGAATTGCAAAATATGGCCAAGATTGAGAAAATGTCAATTGGTTTAGGTTCAAGGTCGAATTCAACCAGAACTGTGGGTTCACCAGATGACATTAGCAAGCAAACAAAGGAAAAATATCGATTTAAGTAATGTCCACATCTTTACTCATGAAACTTGTCATAAATGTAGATAGTTCTGAGCAAAACTGATAAGTTAAATTGATGAAATAGTTGTATTTTGTATTATAACATATCTATAACCCTTTCAAACCCGGGAATCTTAGTCATCTCGACCGCTTTAAGTCCTGAGCAAATTTTGCATAAATGTTGGTTTTTAACCTAGATTTCAAATTCTAAAATTATTGATTAGGCTTGTTTTAAAGACAAAACCTGACGTACCATGATTAATCATTGATAAAGAAAACCCCTCAATATATTTCATATAAGTTTGCCAAAAGACTGTTTAGTAATTAATATACAGTAATATGTTTTTCAATTGTTTTTTGGTAAAAAAAATAAGAGTTTGAGTTGTTGTTTGATGTATGAAAAATAAAGAATATGGTTTGGTTTTTGTTCACATTTATTAATGTCATTTCTGATATTTTATATTAACTGATCGTCCGTGATATCGAGTAGATTGAATCACGCTTATTGACAATTTCAATTGGCGACCGTGACAGGACCTGTTTATTAAGAAATGACAAAATTAGGAGTTGAAGATTTGACAACTGAAATGCAAGAGAAAGGCCTGGAAGAAAGTGAGCAGAAGGAGACAGGAAGCAAAGCCTACGAGCTTCGACCACGGGTAGGACGAAATACCCAGTTGGTAGAACAAATATCACAACCTGACCCGGTGAGTACTCTACTGTCCAAAATTTCGGAGAAACTAGATATCCAATCTGAGAAACTTAATAGATATTAATAGTAAAATGTCATCATTTATGAAACAAATTTCTCACAACTATTCAAAATTAGACAAAAGAATTGAATCATTGGAGTCAGATGTTGTCGTGACTATTGATAAAATTACAAAATTAGAAACAAATTTTGATGGTAACTCTGATAAATTAAATGAATTGGAAACTAAAATTGATTACATGGAAACTAAATTTCACAATAAAATTAAAGCTATTGGAACACAGATATCCTCACAGGAAAAGACAATTACTTTGAATAATCCAGAATCCCAACTATCATTCATGCCTACTGTAGATCCCAAAATTATCAAAGACAGCCTACCGGAATTTCATGGGAGGTTGGAGGAATGTCCCACAGCGTTTCTAGCTACGTGCGAGTCTTTGTTAAAACGGACGTGTATACCGTCAGTATCTGCAGATTGAGAACCAACAGTTGAGGGGTTCGGCAGGTACTTGGTGGCAAAAAATTAAGGGTCTAAGTCTAGAATGGGACACATTGAAACATGAGTTTATGCAGAGATTTAATTCAGAGTTTGTAAAAGCATTAATCACTAAGAAATTCTTGACAGATGTTCAGCCTAGTGGCATGAGAGCCGGGACATTTGTTATTCAAAAGTTACAGTTGTTTAAGAGAATGAATGATGGTGGGAGTATTGACGAGAATGTTACTTATATTGTGGAACTTTTACATGATAAGATTAGGTCTCTCGTTAAGGTAGCTCAACCAAAATCATTTGACGAGCTCAGGAGCATAGTAGCAAAGCTAGACGAAGAGGTAAGCTTGTATTCCTCAAAAGCAAGATCTTTGAACTTTGTTAATTCCTTTAAATGCTATCAAAGTGGGCAAACTGGGCATGTGAAGGCCCGTTGTCCGGAAAATTATCTAGACCAGAACCGTTCTAATAGGGACGAGAATGGTTCTAGAAGAGTTTCTAAGTCCCAAAACTACAAGTCAGAACGAACCTATATTGGTCAAATTTCTAGTGAGAGTGTGGGTAATCCCCGACCGGCAATTAGTTTACAGATTGGTGACAAATATTATACTGCAATCCTTGATACTCAAGCATCACATTCGTTTATTGGCATGACGGTGGCAAAATTGTTAAAACCTGTTCGTCCAGACGGCGTAACTGTTGTCAAAGGTGCAGTACAAGATATAAATTACAAAATCGAAGGATTTACTTTTCTTGAAGCCAAATGTTCTCAAGAATCTATTCACATTCCGGTAAAAGTGATTAAGGATTTAATCCCGGAAATCATACTAGGGCATGATTTCCTTGTCAAATACGGTGTGTTGATAGATTATACAGCAAATGAAATAATTTTTGGCATTAAAAATAGAGTCAGATTGGGATGGTTAGAGGACAAACACTTTGATTTGGGAGCAGAATTAGAAAACAACGTTTTGGATGAACTGAAAACGGGAATATTGGATCTCAATCAAAGAACAGACTTGAATAATTTACTCAGTATCTTTCCAGAAGTAATTACAGGCAGAATTGGGTTCACTACTACGGTAAAACATAAGATCTCTTGTAAAGATGACACTCCTGTCAAACAGAAACCTTACCCTCTTAACCCCGACAAAGTAAAGGAAATGGATAATCAAGGGCTAATTGAAACGTCATCTTCAGGATGGGCTTCACCAATAGTATTACCCAAAAAGAAGAACGGAGACTACAGACTTTGTGTGGATTTACGTCAAGTCAACAATAAAACTATTGCTGATAGCTTGTCAAGAAAACCGGTAGACAGTGGTGAGATATCCAAAGAACTCATGGAGAGGGAAGTTCCAGTCCCAATGAAGTTAAGACAGATTGAGCCTGTTCTTATGGTGGCACAACGGGAAAATTGTGACATTGACTTGGAACTGATAAAGAAATGGCAGAATGAAGATGCAGCTTGTAGTAGAATGAAATCCTGGATAACCAAACGTTACACTAATTCCGAAGCTATCCCATTCCAGTTTAAGACATGCTATAAGAACCTTCGCTTGGAAGACAGTTTACTTATGTACAAATCTCATCTATCAGAATCTTCCCCTGTGATTGTAGTTCCGAAGTCTCAGAGTGTAAGTATTCTAGAGAAGTACAACGACAGCCCTGAAGCTGGCCATCCAGGACAAGATGAGACCTACACTTCGATTCGGCGTCGTTTCTTCTGGGTAAATATGCATCGGGACATTACATTACATTATTTGTCATGAGAGCCGAAGCCCCCTGACTGCATACCCGGTACCTGTCGTGAGACTTACCCGGGCCCCATGATGTAGGCCGAAGCTTACGCATCAACCTTTTGCACATCATGGGCGGATGACTTAAGGTCATCAGGCTCACCGGCTGCCGAAGCAGACCCTTCGGAAAGAGGGTTGCCCCTCAATCCTAACCAGGGTTTCCGGCTACTTGTTTAAGCGTCACTCCACCTGGGTTCCACTAGATCGGGACCTAGAGGTCCATGGTAGAGCGCCCCGACGCATTTAGTGCAAGTAACACTCGGGACCTATCTAATCCCTGACAGGCAAACCCGCCATCGATAGCCAGAAGGAAGGGGACCGTCAGCACGCTGACGGGGGGAGCCCCAACCTCCCATTTACACCACTACCCGATCGAGGCCTTACCCAGTTGCTGGGAAACCAGAGATAACCAGAGCGATAGATCCCCAGATACCCCTGGCGGGCTCGGACCCAGCACCCGATCTACTTCGTTTGCCCGTCAGACCCAACATCACTGCCAGGCCATCAGGGTTTCCCAAAAGGAGGCAGGTATAGAAGTGGGACCCACCCGGATGAACCTATCCACCAGAGGTGGCGACACCCTTGACTCAATTGAGGTTCCGGGAAAAACCCCCCACACTCAAGATATGCATCGGGACATCAAGAACTACGTCCAATCCTGCACTATCTGTGCCTGTACCAAGGCTAACAACCAAAAAGCTAGTACAAGCATGAGAGGACGTCGGCCACTCTTTCTTGGTCGGGAAATAAAAAGAACTGGTGATTAGAACTTCATGCATGAAAAGTCTCCTGAAACTATGAATTTGACTGCATGGTATGAAGAAAATGTAAAACAAATCAAACATATGAATCGACAAGCCGAAGAGAATTCGAAGAGCAAGAAGCCTGGGTATAACTTAAGGTCTAGAAAGAGGAAGATTTGAAATATATATTGAGGGTTTGGGGGGGGGGGGGATGATTGACGTACCATGATTAATCATTGATAAAGAAAACCCCTCAATATATTTCATATAAGTTTGCCAAAAGACTGTTTAGTAATTAATATAAAAACAGTCATATGTTTTTCAATTGTTTTTGGTTAAAAAAAAATAAGAGTTTGAGTTGTTGTTTGATTTATGAAAAATAAAGAATATGGTTTGGTTTTTGTTCACATTTATTAATGTAATTTCTGATATTTTATATTAACTGATCGTCCGTGATATCGAGTAGATTGAATCACGCATATTGACGATTTCAAACCTTCATAATACCATATTAACCATTTCAGTTTCAGCAATAATTAGCATTATATACGTTTAAAAACATAATTATAACAGTCATTAACCTTAACAGTTGCCTCTTTCTCCTATCTTACCATGACATTGCAACAAAACAATCAGTGTTACCATAAGACATGAAGGCAGACTGCAAAACAAAAATTCCCAGCTGATCTCTTTAACCTACACAATCGATGCGTACAGGTCTAAGCAACAGAAAGATCCAGAAACTTTTATTGCTTGATTAAACCATGAAACCTGATCGCTCTGCTCAACTGGCTTTCACTGCGATGAAAGCAATCCTAGTTTAAGTTAGGTTAACTTATTTTATGTTATTACACCTCTAACGTAAAACACCTATTTTAACTGGATCATACTCTGAACCAGTAGGCCTACATAGACTACTGTTTGCTCTACCTATACAACGTGAAATTGGCAATGCTTTAGGCTTTTTAAAGAGATCTAACCTAACCTAACTTAGGCACCAACATTCTGTGTTCTAAAATTACTTAATTAGAAAATGTTCAAAATTTGTGATTAACTTTTCATCAGGAAAAATAAAATTTACGATTCAAGTTAGTGACAATATATGAAAATGAATTGTACTTTTTTAGTTTTATGCCTAGGGGACTTTTACATAAGACTAAGCCTAACTAATTGCCTGTTTCATGTATGCACTGGTCTTTACAGGTGGTGTATCATAAAATAGTTTAAATACTTACTTGAAAATTATAATAATTGCTTAGTGGCTATGAACTCTTCAAATACTAAATACTATAGGATAAGAGTAACTTATGCAAGCCGCTAATGAGAAATTAACACTGATAGTGTAAAATGAAATTAGGTTAAGTTAAAACGGCGGCGCGACTACTACTACTAGTACTTACTAGTGCTGCGCTGCGCTAAAAGCTGTGACTGTGCTGTGACTTTGACTGTGACTGTGAGCGTGAGCGTGAGCAACAACAAGCAACTGAACTGAACTGAACTCGAACTGAAGCAACAGCAAAGGGCCGAAAGCAAAAGCCGAAACCCGAAACGAAACCGAAGTGCCAACGATTAATGATTTTTTTACTAACAAAAATCACACATAGGTGATTTTACTAGGGGGCGGAAAATTATTTGGGCCTAAGGGCGCAAAAATGCTAAATCCGGCCCTGCGGTTTACGAAAATTAGAATAGAATATATATTTATTTTCTCAAAGAACTCACAATACATTGTTCATCTTTCACAATAGACGTGTAGAAAGACGCCGGCGAGTCGGCGAGTGCGCTTGTAGTCGTTCACACGATGCTTTTTCCACTCGCTCAGTAGCTGGCTTGAACCAAATCCTCCAACATCTTTGAGTAACAAGCGCACAAGCACAAGCAACTGTGTTCACACTGCGCTACTTTACACGCCTACTCACTCAAAAGCTGGCGAGTTGGCGTGTAAAGTAGCGGTAGCGTCAACTTTTTCAAGAGCTTTTTTACAAGCAGCTTTTGAGCGAGTACGTCGTTCACACTGAGCTATTTTACTAGCTGCGTGTAAAAAAGCCGGCGTGTAGCTTGTAAACTCGCCCCGTGTGAACGGGGCTGAAAAAGTTGACGCTGCCGCTACTTTACACGCCAACTCGCCATAGCTTTTGAGCGAGTAGGCGTGTAAAGTAGCCCAGTGTGAACACAGTTGCTTGTGCTTGTGCGCATGTTATTCGGAAGATGTCGGAGGATTTAGTTCAAGCCAGCTACTGAGCGAGTGGAAAAAGCATCGTGTGAACTACTACAAGCGCACTCGCCAACTCGCCGGCGTCTTTTTTACACGTCAGCGAGTTGGCGAGTGGACAAGCTCCGTGTGAACGAATACTAGCACACTCGCCGACTCGCTGGCTTACACGCCGGTGAGTAGCGTGTAAACTCGCCCCGTGTGAGCGAGGCTTTGTTCTCTAGGCACCATGGTTCGTTACGAAGTGCTTAACATAGGAACAGTCGAACCCCAATGGCCAAAGAAGAAATTTCAAAGTTAAATGCCAAATACTTAAAGAAGTTATAGTATACATATTAACTACCTTGCTTTAAATTTGCTGGATAACACCAACTGTATATATAGATTGAAAAGATGCCATGTTTTGGACCTAACTTGTTATTTTTAGAAATGTATAGAAATTTATTTATTTATGTATATTCAGTATCTACGAAGTAAAAGGCCAGGGACATAAAAACGTACGTTTCAAAATTTTCACTCCGCGACGCATTTTGTTTTCGTATAGTCTGAAATAATGTAGTTTACGTAGCGTGTACGCCGTAACTGCATGACACTCCCAACGGTGTGTGCCAGAACCAGAAGTGTAGGTTTAATTTAAATATTTTAATTAATTTATGTTTATAAATTTAAATCCAGAAATTGCGAGTTAATGAGCTAATGTCTCCTGTCTGCCATGTTATCTTATGGGGCGTCTGGCACTAAACAACCCTACGTGCGACGTTGCCAATTCTACCAGGCCGTGGCCTGGAGTTAAAGGTGGCCGTGGGTTATAGAATCTCTTTTTAGCGAATTTCCCATATAAGGAATAAGCTATTACCGTAGTACTCATGGTAAGACCTGGACCCGGGACCGATTTATTTTTTCGTTTTGAGGTCCCTAGAGGTCAAAAACACCATCCATTCAAATTCATATATATGTGTGTATGTCTGTTAGCACGATAACTCGAGCAAAAATGATCCAATTTTGATGAAATTCGGTAGACACGTGTAAACCTACATTTATTCGAACGAGTTCGCGAACCAGCATGATCAGACTATGGGAACGGGGGTTTATGGGGGTTTTATGGGTTAAAAATAGGTTTTCCCATTTTTGACCCTAAAAACACAATATAATTTTAAAATTTCTTTTTTTTAAAAATCGTTTTGTAGAGCGTAAAAAAACAAATAATTTTGTATATTGAAGCGTTATTGTGCGCCTAATGGTTGCGGAGAAAATTCCAAAAAACTGTAAATTTAAAATCCCCATGTTATTCTTATGGTAAATAAGTAAACTGTTGTAGTTTGCTTGTTTATGAACATATTTTGATCGAATTTGGAAAATACATTCATTTCTTACTAAACTATTAACATTAAATACCCCCGCCGCAGCAAACCTGCCGACTAAGCGAATTTCCATTCGTCTGAATTGATTTTCAGTTAAATATATTTTAATAACATTAGGTTTAACGAGTACCTAGGTTTGCTGCTACAAGGAAACTAATAAAGTGTGTTTTTGAGTAAAATATTGATAGCTTAGTACAAAATGAATAAATTTACCAAGTTTGATCAAAATATATTCATAAACAAGCAAACTACAACATTTGACAATATTCTCCATAAGAATAACATGGGAATTTTAAATTTACAATTTTTTTAATTTTCTCCGTTACTAATAATCGAACAAAAATACTGTTATATACTAAATTATTTGTTTTTTTAAGCTTTTTAAAAAGGTCTAAAGAAAAATTGGGAAATTTTGTGTTTTGAGGGTCATAAGTGAGAAAAACCAATTTTTACCCCATAAAACCCCCCGTAAAGCCCCGTTCCCATGGTCCGATCGTGCTGGTTCGCGAACTCATTCAAGTTTATCACGCTTTACACCTTTGAACCAAATTTCATCAAAATCGGACAAAAATTACTCAAGTTATCGCGTTCACGGACGTATATATATATATATATATGTCTATATATATATATATATATATAAATTTGAACGAATAGTGTTTTTGGCCTCTGGGGACATCAAAATGAAAAAGTAAATCGGTCCCGGGTCTAGGTCTTACCGTGCCACCTACGGTAATAGCTACTTCCCTATAGGGAAATTCGCTAAAAAACACCTTTTTACCCTTCCTAATGCAATGCAGCAAACCTAAGTACTCGTTAAACTAATTCTATTTAAATAGGGAATAAATATGATATTTTTAAGGGGGCATTTTAGTGTAAATCCTATCAGGCTAATGGAAATTCGCTTAGTCTGCAGGTTTGCTGCGGTGGGGGTATTTTATTTCTATAAAATAAAATCATTGACATAGTTTTAGAATAAATAATTTATGACAAATTTTTAGATTAAATAAACCTTCCACATAGTTGTGTAATTTGGCAGTCTCAAAAAGGGGGGTAGTTAAAGGCGGCCGTGCCTGGAGGCGAAGCCTCAGCGAGCCAAAGGTGAGTCAGTTAAGTACAGTATTCAATACCTAACGAGATCAGTACTTCACAAATACACCAAACAATATTTAGCGTACAGACATTGGAGACATTAGTACAGGTCGTGACATCTAAGCTGGCACTTGGCCGATCACTACTATAGTATCTAGTTAAAAAATATATATATATGTTCCATCATGCGGGTTGCATCAACTGTGTTTCATCAACTGTCCTCGCGACCTATATGAAGGCGCTCGAGTACATAATACAAGGGGAGTGAACCCCGTGTGGCAGCGGAAATGTTTGCAGTCCGCTGGTCTTTTCCCTACCTCCACCCTCCTTCCGCATACACTGCCCACGCTAGGCCGGCAGTGAAACTGAAACTGCGTAACTCCATTCACTCGACCACTAGTTCACGATTAACCACTCCCCATTTCATAATAAAGTACAAACTAATATTATTAGTAAATCAGCTGATCGCCTAATGCAAATCTAATGGAAATTACAAGTTACAAGTTGTAACTTGTAACTTGTAGTTTATTATGAAATGGGCCCCTGAAGCTGTCTCATAGTTTATTTTAAATTAATATCTTGATTAATTTAGGATTATTTTTTATATCATGTTCAACTTTAGTTATGGAAATCGTCCCAAGCACAGGTCTTGCATGGCATATGCGCACGCGGGACTATTTTTCGTATGTCTAATATGTATATACCATAGATAAAACATACTCCCTTAAGTAGATTTCTCATCCTTATGGAACAGCTGAAGACAATTTTATTGTTAGTTCTGTACGGTTTATGTAGAGGTCGTGTTTTGTTTACAATTTGTTTCCCGTTATTACAGACATTTAAAACCTCGTTCATCCAAATAATACGATCTAATCATAAGCAACAACTTGTCCCCTTGTTATACAACCAAAAAGTAAAGCACAAATCAAGAAATTAACCCTAAAATAATAGAAAAAAAGTCTCGTCAACACTAGCGCCCATGTGTCACGTACATGAACTAGACACGAAAAACGTGCTTCAAAATTTACAATGGGATGAGTAGTCTGGTTAGTCTATGTATATACACTGTAAAGATTTTTGAAATAACACAATATGTTTTGATTTTATTTGTACGGACATTGAACACAGAAGGAATGGGGCGATTCCTAGCTTCTTGCTTCGACGCTAACTCCGTACGTGTTGTGATTGGGCGGCTGGTCATCTCAGCTTACCAACGGTTTTGCTCTGGCATTTGAATTTAAAATGTTCAAATTCATTACAAAAATGTGATCAACTTGCATGTTGCATTATTTTACTAATCAGCAGTAAAATATAATACGGTACTTACAGAGTTGTATAAAAAATCCTGTTTAAATTGAACATTTTTTGTTATGCTGTTGGCTACGTTGCCTATTGTTAATCAGCACAAAAAAAGTTTAAGATGACAAAGTCGGATAGCCTAGGGTTCACTACGATACTCGGACAGAATACGATTGAATCGATCTATCGAGAGTCTGCAATTTCACTATCGATATTGAATTGTGTACACTATCGATATCGGAAAATCGGATTCGAGTTTGTTGTTGGATCTGAGTCTGTGAGTATTGAGTTTTCAATTTCAATCGGACTCAAATCATCTACTCAATCCACCTCTACAACCTAATTGTACAATTTGTTTTTCAGGATTAGTTTTGCCGACAGTGTCATTTGGAGGCTTCTGATTGACTATAATAAAGGTTTACTAATTGAAAAATTAGTTT